TTACAAGTGGTATTGAACGATGCAACAAATCCCTCCGCTTACGTATTTTTTCGCTAAGATTTCAATCTGGCCATCGCTCGTTTCCAATTGTTAAACGTCAAAACCTCCTGAACTCGATCAACTGTCAAAGTTTAGGTGGTTTTGACGTTTAGCAATTGTTCTCTCACTTCCCGTGAGAGAGGAGTTAAACATCTCATTATCTCTGGATGACTGTTTAACGACTGTCCTCTTGTCTTGTTTGTTAAGTTGGTTGTGCCCTATCAGTGCTGATTATTGTCATAGGTCAGTGTTGTCCACTGCAAGTGAGGTGAGTATGCGTACGTATTAATAGGTGTGTCCACTACGTGTTGTCCTGTCATCGCTTCCCACATATATTATACTATTTATATAAGTACATATGCAAACATGCATTTGTTTATTATCCAATAAAGACAAATTGTCTATTTTTACTCTAGGATGAGCCCCTTAATAAATTTCTGGATTTGGGTGAATGTAAGGAGCTGGAGGAATACACATTAAAATGTGTGAAGGATAACTGTTCTTTCAAAGCAGTACATAATAACGGTGATTTGATCGGCATTTTTCTTAATGGACTTTTGAAAAGACCCGTAAGTATCATAAACTCAATAAATAATACATTTGCGATTTTATCCAAACACATACCTAGACCTCATTTAAATGTGTCTTTTGGAAAATTTGGAATGTATATATCTGTTCCAGCGTGCCACATAATATTAGATAAAAGGCGGTTAACCATATTATTATGTTTGAACCTAACGCCTTTGTTGTAATTTATGCAAACAGTACGCAGATTCCTAAGGCTCTATCTTATAAACAAATATATACCGCCTTTTAGTGTTAACATCTGTTATTAAAAAAAAAAAACATACAACACAAACAAACAACTCCATAGAACATCCTAGCTTATAATGACTCTTATTATAAGTATAATTTAAAAGAAAAAACTGAAATAAATCCTTTTTTTTTTTAAGAAAAATAAACTTGAAAATTTATTTCAATGACGTTTTCCATTTTGCAAAGAATTACTGCATATTTATTCTGAAAAGCATTTATTTAATTTAAAAGAAAAAACTGAAATAAATCCTTCTTTTTTTTTAAGAAAAATAAATTTGAAAATTTATTTCAATGACGTTTTCCATTTTGCAAAGAATTACTGGATATTTATTCTGAAAAGCAACTCCGAATATAAAAATATTCTGGAACTGTCGATTTTTCGGATAACATTTATACATACATATTTCGGATTTATGCAAAAATATAACATTATCAATCTTCCGTTTCAGCCGCCATCTGCTCAACTTTCTGAGAAAGCGGCCGATTCATGCCAGCATGCGAAGTTCAAGAAGATACTGGCTCTTTTTGATAGAATTGAAGAGAACTTTAATATTTTCGATTTGTACCCAGACATCGACGTTATGGTCGACGGTAAAATACTTTCAGTCAATTCCGAATATCGTGGACTTGGCATCGCTGGTTACCTGACTGAGCGTACCCTGGAATACATGAAGGAACATAATATTCCGGTCATGCACGTGCTATGTTCCAGCCACTATTCGGCTCGTGTTATGGAGAAACTTGGCTTCCACGAGGTATACAGACTCAATTATTCCGACTACAAAGTCAATGATGAAGTGGTGTTCACACCGGCAGAGCCCCACGTGGCCGCACGTATTTTGGTCAAAGAGATCGGAGATGTTAATCGAAAGAGCACGCTATAAATATTTCCAGAGTGACTGAGCAGTCTGACCACTTTACTATGTCAATTGGTTGTAAACAAATTTTAAATGTGAAGAATAAATGCTATTTAGTATTAATATTAACCGTTTGGTGAGGGTGTAATTCAATTAAAATAGTACAATAAATAAATGTTACTAACCTAACTTACATATTGATGATAATGTGTATCAATATCATTGGCTTTCCAATATCGTAATGAATGTACCTAAGGCCGTTCCCTTAATTACTTTAAAGCCAAGGTTTAGTACCGTAAGCTATGTTTATAATTAATTAATACTATTTTTAATTGTTTAAGATTTTAAACGTGTATTTGTACATGTGTGTGTAGCTACATAAGTACATAAATCACATAATTCATAGAAATTAGAAATTATTAAAGTTTTTACTGAGAATTTACAATACACTTACAAAAACGTGTGTTGCACCCAATTATAATGAAACTGTTTATTTACTTTCTCGGCCTTGACATGCCACGTAATAAAATTTGTATTTTTTATCAACATATATGTTTTTATATAATATGTATATACAAAAATCCTATGAAAAATATACCCGATCGACATCGGGTACAAATTATATAACAAAAAGGATTTTTATAACAACTTTTCATAATTAAATATTTGTACAAAAGTGTAAAACAACTCAGTTACTAAAAGTTCCAAAAATGATTACAGATGAAAAAAGTCCATGTACACCGGCAGAAGCAACACGCTCGAAGCAAGGTGCTACGAAACAGAAAAGGGGGAAAGAGATATCATGCTCTAAATTCATTTCTGAGAGTGACTGTCTAATAAAATATTGCAATCGATTTGCTTCCTCGCCGATGCAAGAAAACTCTGAATCGGCACTAGAAACAAAAAGCCAAACAATTGAAAATTTTTGGACACGTCTCCAGGCTGCATATGACGCAATTGTAGATACTGACGATTCAGATCTACCAGAAAACTTTAAATCTTCTGCTTACGACAAATTTGAAAACTGCTTAGACCAGTATGAAGACACAAAAATTATGATCGCTGATCAATTGAAACTAATTAAAGCAATTGGACCTGCTCCAATTCCGCGAGTAGTATTGCCACAAGTACAAAGTCAAGATGCAAGTTCAGGCATCCACCTCAAGGTGCCCACATGTGACACAGAGATTTTTCATGGGGGTTATGAACAATGGCCGGCCTTCCGGGACATGTTCATAGCCGTTTACATCAACCACCCAAAATTATCTAATGCAAAACCAAAGGTCTGGCAGGCGTAATAGTTAAACAGTTCGTTCTCAATGACGAAAATTTTGATTTTGCTTGAGAAGCTCTAAAAGCACGTTACGAAAACGAGAGAATATTGGTCGACAAGCAAGTGACGATACTAATGAATTTACCAAAAATTCAGAAAGAAACCAGTGAAGAATTCATAAAACTTCAATTCACGGTTTCAAATTGTTTGTCGGTTTTATCGACACAAAATATTCTCACAGATAATTGGGACCCCATTCTGGTAAATATATGCACAGCCGCATTACCAGAAAAATCGTTACTTTTGTGGGAGCAATCGCTYTCATCGCGAAGAAAGTGCCCAACGTGGCAGCAAATGAAAGAATTTCTTACTACCCAATATGAAATTGTAGAAAGGGTAGATAAAAAAATAGTCAGACCGAAAAACGTTCAAGGCGACCTCAACGGCAAGTAGCCACAATAATTTAAATAGAAGCTTTTTTAAAAATCAAACGTTCACATCCGAACAATTTAAACAAACGTCACCGAGCTTTGTAGAGGAGGTCACAAACTCAAATTGTGCGAAAAATTAAAAAAAAAAATGAATATTAGCGATCGAAACAATTTCGTAAGAACGAAAAAAATATGTACCAACTGTTTGTCACAAGCGCATACGCTTAAAGATTGCGAAAGCAAATTTAATTGCTTTTATTGCCATAAAAGACATCATTCAATGTTACATATAACCAATTTTTCCAGCTCACCCCCAAACAGCGCAAACGTAAAAAGAGCAACAGGTTTAGTTGCGCCAATAAATTCTGGAAACTGCCAAGAAGCACCATGCTGCTCAAAGGCGGCAAAAACCCAACGCTACATAGCGAAAATCATAGTAGGGTACTATTACCCACAGCAGTTGTCTCCATCGAACACCGAGGAGACGGTACATCGACAACTCAAGTTGAGGAAGTCTCAAACGAGTACCTCAATTCGCAATCAAAAAATTTTGGGAATTAGAAGACCTCCCCCCCCATATCAGTCACAACCCCTGAAGATCAGTATTGTGAGGACTTTTACAAAATGGTCGGAACGTCGTACGACTACCACTTAAACAACAATTTCCTAACACACTCGTCCTAGGTCACTCTCGCACTTCTGCAATACAGCAGTTTTTAAGTATGGAAGGAAACCTACTTAAAAAGGGTGAACTCAAATCTGAATATGATGGTGTGTTAGAAGAATACCTCCATTTAAATCATATGGAGGAAGTAAACCCAGGGGAGAAAATCGTCAACGGCCAATACTACTCCTTCTATCTGCCGCATCACGCAGTAGTAAAGCCAGACAAAAAAACAACAAAAGTAAGAGTTGTTTTTAATGCCTCGAAAACCACCAGTTCAGGGAATTCCCTAAATGATATCTTATTTACGGAACCACATTCCAACCAGATTTAATGCTTTTGATATTAAACTGGCGTATATTCAAATACGTATTCAATGGGGACGTTGAAAAAGTGTATCGTCAAATAGTCGTACATAAAAACGACCAAGATTTTCAACGTTTTATGTTCCAAAGATCCCCCACCAGTCCTTTAAGCGACTTCAAACTAAAAACAGTTACATTTGGCGTCAACTGTGCACCTTATCTAGCCATTCAAACACTCCACGAATTGGCAGACAACACAAAGTCAGAATTTCCTCTGGCAACTGAAGTATTGAAAACTCAAACGTATGTAGACGATATTCTGCCTGGAAGTCACATTCTTCCACAAGCATACGACCCTTATCACAGGTAATAAAAACTCTCAAATCCGCAGGGTTTCCATTAAAAAGATTACGGCAAATCACCCAAATATTTTAAAAAATATTCCTAAAGACCATTTATTGGATACAAATTTCCTTATATTTGAAAATGAAAGTACAACAAAAACACTGGGCAGACAATGTAATGCGATATCTGACCAGTTTTCATATACTACAGAGTCAATATCTGCATTATTCGCCATCACAAAGAGACAAATTTTGTCCTCCGTGGCGAAACTTTTCGACCCCGCAGGATGGCTTTCGCCAATTATGATACAAGCGAAAATCCTGATCCAAGAATTATGGCTAGACGGAACCGACTGGGACGAACAAGTGAAGCCTCTTCGCTTAGAAAAATGGTCCCAGTTCGCAAACAATCTGAATGATATTTCTCAGATACAAATTCCGCAATGGGTGAACTACTCCTCCGAACGCAAAGTCGAATTACTTGGCTTCTGTGACGCATGTGAAAGTGATACCACGACCACAAGCCACTTATTAGTAGCAAAAGCAAAGGTGGCACCTTTAAAAACTATGTCTTCCACGACTTGAGTTATGTGGCGCACAACTACTTTCTAAATTAGTAACCATGGTGCAAATGCATTTAAACATGACAAAATGCAAATTGTACTAACCTGTTTGGAAAAACCACCACATGCATGGAAGACGTATATTTTAACCGAACGTCTCGTATACTTGACCTGGTGGGATCAGCCACATGGCGTCACGTAGCCAGTGCTGACTTCACCTTGCCACTACCACCCCCTGGTGGAATGGCCTCCGATGGTTGATAGAATCTCCGGATTCTTGGCCACAATCTCCCATGAGCAACATTATTGCCCCAGAAGGGCAAAAAATCGCCGCCTTTCACACATTATTGGATGCTACCGACATCCTTGAACGATTTTCATCGTTTCCAAGAGCTCTCAGAGGAGTTGCTTATATGTTCAAATTTATAGAACAGCTCAAAGCAAAGTCAATGGATCACATAATTTCCCATGCAACACAGTGACGCACCTAGAGTTACAAAAAGCAAAGGTTGCACTAATCGCATATACACAAGCGCGCTACTTCAGCCGCGATATATCACTACTRAGAGAATCGAAGCCGATTGACAAAAAGAGCTCACTCTTAGTGAAAGGTCTGCTTCGTGCCAATAGTAGGCTTGCTAATTCGAGCCTAACTTACAATGAACGCCACCCCATAATAATTCCCGAGAATTTACCATTTACCACATTATTCCTCAACTACCTCCACATCTTAATGCTACACGCCGAACATCGCCTCATGTAACATATGGCACGCCAAGAGTATTATATCCCCCGTCTTAAGCCGCAAATCAAGAAGTGCATCTTCACTTGCAAGATTTGCACTATGCACAAACAGAAGATGCGAACGCAGATTATGGCAGCACTTCCACCGGAACGCTGCAATTTCGCTCTGCCTTTCACCACAACAGGTGTTGATTTTGCTGGGCCTTTCCAGGTAAAGGCGTCTATGCTAAGGTCTCCCATTCTCATGAAAGGCTAAGTGGCTGTCTTTGTATGTTTCACGACAAAGGCAGTACACCTTGAGCTATGTAGTAATCTAACGACGGAGGCTTTTCTGGCGGCATTTGCTCGCTTCGTCGCTCGACGTGGCTACCCATCAAAGATCATGAGCGATAAAACCTTTATTAGAGCTCAACGAGCCACAGAAAAGCAATTTGTGGATTTCCTAAAGCAAGTGTCACCCGACATCGTACAAAAGTACGCCCCTCAAGGTATCAATTGGCAATTTATACCCTCAAACGCTCCTCATATGGGCGGTTTATGGGAATCAGCTGTGAAAAGCTTCAAATCTTATTTCAAACGGGTAGCTGGAAATTATAAATTCAATTACGATGAGTTCAATCGATTTGAAGCCGTTCTCAATTCACGGCCACTCACAGTACTCTCGCAAGATCCCTCAGATTTCACTGCCTTAACTCCAGGGCATTTTCTAAAAGGAGCACCCATCCTGGCCAGGCGTGGAGTCGCTATCCCTATTAAATCGATGGGAACGAATTAAAATTCTCCATCATGATTTCAGCCGCCGATGGAAGGACGAATACATAGAGGATCTCCACAAAATATACCGCTGGAAGACTCCTGAACAAGCACCTAAACTTGGAGACTGTGTCCTCATTCATGATGATTGTCTACCCCCTACCGASTGGCGGCTTGGCCGCATAGAAAAGCTACATTATGGCTCCGACGGTCACATACGGGTCATGGATCTCCGAACGCAAAACGGAACACTAACCAGACCTCTCGTGAAGCTATGCTTTTTACCAACCACCGACGACCGCGAATCCGAAAACCACAAAAACGAAACCGATAAAATCGCGATATAATAAAATCACTAAACTTATCGCTAAAACATAATAAACTGTCGAAAAATAACAAAAAACGGTCGTTCAATACGACGACCCATTCATGCCACACATCGTGGCACGATGGCCCATATCTCATTGTATGAT